AGTCCCGCACGCAGGGCCGCGAGGGAGACAGCGCTACGAGTGCTCCGTTCGGAATCAGTCTCCTGGTCTTGCTGGCCCGTCTGCGGACTCGGAGACCTGGAGACGCTGGCTGGGCGGGCCGGTGGGGAGGGGAGAGGGGAGAGGGGAAGGGGAGGGCCCGCCCGGCCCAGCCAGGCCCAGACAGTGAACTTAGGCCCAGGTCAAGGAAGTCGTAGAGCCACCAGGCCTTACTGATGAGAGCACAGTCCCATCAGTAAGGCCTGGTGGCGATCGACTGCTCACACCCCTTCACTTCCACAGGGGGTGCGAGTGAGACAGGCTCACAGGCATGCAGTACAGTGACTGAGGCGACTGCCAGCTCATTTCCCACCGGTCGCGATCCATTTCGGGCGGCCGGTTCGCACCGCTTGAAATAACCAACGACGGGCCGCTTCACATTACAATGGCAAGTTGGGCGAAGTGATGGAGGCCGAAAGGGCCCTTCACAATGTCGCCAGGCACGGGGCGAGGCTGCCGGGCTGCGAGGGCGGCAAAGAAGCGCTGCCCTGCGACACACTTTGCGACGTCGTGCCGTGCCGTGCCGCCTGCGGACGACGAACTGGCGGAAACGTGCGCAGGGGAGGGAAAGTGGGAGGGGGGGGGGGGCAGAGGGGGAGGGGGAGGCCCGGCGAGCGGCGAAGTGAGTGAGATGAATGATAGGCCTGAGAGGGCCCTGCCGCCCTTTGTATATTTCTGCTACCTCGGCAGATTCGCCGCATCGCCGCGCGAAGGGAGCGAAGGGGAGAGGAAGACATGCCCTGTCCCGGCGAGTCCTGCGCAGGGGAAGGGCTTATCAAGGCGGTGGCCGGCGGACTGATTCGTGGCTCTGTCTGACTCACTCTCGGGAGGCGGTCCGTGAAGGTGCGAGAGACACACAGCGCACAGTGGGCCAGAAGACCGGTGGAGGCGGCCAAAATTCCAGACACGTTTTGACCTCCAGCCAGAGTCGCTAAACAGGACTCGGGAGGGAAAGGCCCCCAAAATCCATTGGTGGGGTCACACGGTCGGGTTGAGTCCCATTCAGCGACTCTGGAGCTCAAAACGCGTCTAGAGTTTCGGCCGCCTGCGCCGGTCTTCTGGGGCCCACTGTTGCGATGGCGCCGTGACCGCGGGGCTGAACTGCACGCCGCTGCACGGACGACGAGGTCGAGGTCGACGACGGCGCCGAGTCCCACCACTGGTGCTGCTAATATCGGGGGCTTGTTCGCTTGTTCCGGCCAATTTCCAACTATTTCACTTAATTAATTTGGGGCGAGACGCGGCGGACGTCCCAGCCGACTCGCTGCGGACAGGGCTGCGCGGGGCTGCGCGGGGCTGCGCGGGGCTGCGCGGGGCTGCGCGGGGCTGCGCGGGGCTGCGCGGGGCTGCGCGGGGCTGCGCGGGGCTGCGCGGCGGCTGCGCGGGGCTGCGCGGGGCTGCGCGAGGCTGCGCGGGGCTGCGCGGGGCGCGAGGGGCGGGCGAGGGGCTGCGCGGGGCTGCGCGGGCTGCGCGGGGCTGCGCAGGGCTGCGCGGGGCTGCCGCGGGGGCTGCGCGGGGCTGCGCGGGGCTGCGCGGGGCTGCGCGGGGCTGCGCGGGGCTACGCGGGGCTGCCGCACCGCAAGGCGCGCAAGGGGGATGCGGCGCTGCGGGCTGAGGTTAGGGTTGAATACACCGCCCCGTCACGCCCGGGCGATGAGACCGCCAGGCTGACTCGGAGCGGGAGGGAGCAACAGTGGGCCAGAAGACCGGTGGAGGCGGCCAAAACTCGAGACGCGTTTTGAGCTCCAGAGTCGCTAGGCAGGACTCGAACCGAACGTGTGACCCCACCAATGGATTCCTCGTTCGAAGAGCAATCCATTGGTGTGGTCACACGTTCAGTTGGAGTCCTGTTCAGCGACTCTGGAGCTCAAACCGCGTTTCGAGAATTGTCCACCTCCACCGGTCTTCTGGCTCACTGTAGGGAACTCTCTCTCTCTCTCTCTCTCTCTCTCTCTCTCTCTCTCTCTCTCTCTCTCTCTCTCTCTCTCTCTCTCTCTCACTCACTCTCTCTCTCTCTCTCTCTCTCTCTCGCTCATGGTGGTGCACCGAACACAGAACCTTCTCGCTCGGCGAGCTCGGCATTAACCTGCTGCCGCCCGGCGGCGGGCCGTGCTCGCCCTGCTCCTCCTGGAGGGCTCCCCGTCAGCCCTCATCCCCGAGGCTCGGCGCCCTCCGCGCCCCGCTGTAAGCCAGAAGAGCGCCGCCGCCACCAGAGTGTGTTTGACGAGCTCCGGCGCGCGAGCGGGCGTGGCGCGGCGCGGCGTGGCGTGGCGCGGTGTAGCACGGCACGGCGTGGCGGGGCGTGGCGTGGCGGGGCGTGGCGTGGCGCGGTGTAGCACGGCACGGCGTGGCGGGGCGTGGCGTGGCGGGGCGTGGCGTGGCGCGGTGTTAGCACGGCGTGGCGGGGGTGGCGTGGCGGGGCGGGGCGTGGCGCGGTGTAGCACGGCACGGCGTGGCGGGGCGTGGCGTGGCGGGGCCGTGCGGGGGTAAAACTCAAGTCAAGTAGACGCGGAAGGGCTCCGCGCCCACGCGGCCCCCGGATTAGATGAAATAACGAAACGACTCCGCGGCCGACGAGCGCCGAGGAGGAGCCCTTCCACCACACCGTCAATACTAGTAGTAGTACTTGACGTACTTCACGTACTTTACGTGTACTTCCCGCCCAGAGGGTCCCGTATCATAGCATAGCCCCCCCAATTACAGGCTGAGCTGCTAATTAAAAATTTCCCCCCACATTCAGTGCGACGTGCTTCCGCGACACACACACACACACACACACACACGATAAGTTTTAATTAACGCTCGTCGCTCTGCGCGTTGCGGGCGTTGCGGGCCTGGCTGGCGTGGCGATCACTCACCGGATGCGGGGCAGCGTGACGGCGTCCTTGCCCGACGCGTCGATCCAGCGCACGTCGGGCTCCGGGCTGCCGCGCGCCTCGCAGGACACCGCCACCCCCGAGCTGTTGGAGAACTCGAGCGAGGCGGGCGGCTCCAGGACGAACTGCGGGCCCTGCAGCCCCTGGGGGGCGCCGGCCTGGCCGGCCGCACCGCGGCCACCTGGAACAGCGAGAAGGACAGTGTAGTGACAAGCGGACAAACGGACATGCGGACGGACAGAGAGACAGACAGACAGACAGACAGACAGACAGACAGACAGACAGACAGACAGGCAGACAGACAGACAGACAGACAGACAGACAGACAGACAGACAGACAGACAGACAGACCGGCAGGCAGACGAAAGGAGGCAGCACGGAGCGACTGCCCAGTGTGTCCGTTGAGAAGGCGGGGCCGTAGGGGTTGGCGAGTTGACGCCCAGTGGGCCAGAGGACCGGTAGGGGCGGCCACACCTCTGGACCCGTTTTGAGCTAAACGCTAAACAGGACAAAATTGGGTTCCTCGTTCGGAGAGCAATCCATAGGTGAGGTCACACGTTCGGTTCGAGTCCCATTTAGTGACTCTGGAGCAACGCGAGCAACGCGTCTAGAATTCTGGCCGCCTCCACCGGTCTTCTGGTCCACTGTGTGACGGGTTAGTGACGCCGCGAAGGCCGCGAAGAAGGCGAGGTCCAGCCGACGCTTTGAAGGTTCGCGCCGACGCAGCGAACCAGGCGAGCGCGGAGCGCGTTGACTCCGCTCTTCTTCTTCTCCTTATTCTGCAGCGCGAGCCGCACGCTGTCCGGAATACCACTGTAGCAGCACCGCATGCTGCACGCCGACCGCACGCATCAAAAGACAAAGGAGAGAGAGAGAGGGAGAGAGAGAGAGAGAGAGAGAGAGAGAGAGAGAGAGAGAGAGAGCCAATTACCCTCATTAGACTCGTCAGATGGCGCTGCCCTCCTCTCTCTTTCTTTCTCTTCCCCCGCGGGCCGGCCAAGGAACGCTAACTTCCTTTTAAGAGGACCACTGAGCCGCCGCCCTCGCTCCTAAAAATTAATCCTTTTTTCGAATATCGTCGTCATTATCATTACTCTTCAGGATTTTTATTTTTTTTTATTATCATCTCGAATAATCATCAGCAGCGGCGGCTGGGCGAGTGAACAGAGAGAGAGGGAGGGAGAGAGAGAGGGAGAGAGAGAGGGAGAAAGAGAGAGAGAGAGAGAGAGAGAGAGAGAGAGAGAGAGAGAGAGAGAGAGAGAGAGAGAGAGAGAGAGAGAGAGAGAGAAGGCGGAGACAGGCTCAGTCGGCCGCGGCCTGAGCTAGGCGGGCGTGGTCCAACATCAGCAATGATAAGGGTGATGGGGTTGGGAAAAGGGAGATCGGGGGGGGGGGGGCACTGTAAGCCGGAAAGCGTAACCCAACCCGACCCTACCCTACCCTCGTGGGCCCTCGGGACGGACAGAGCGGCGTGCATGTACATCCATCCCTCTGCTGCCGCGTTCCCCACATGCACTCGTGCTAAATATAGTTCACGCTCACGCGAACACACACACACACACACACACACACACACACACACACACACACACGAAGACATTCACAAACAAACACAAACCTCCGCAGAGGTACGCAACTGCCTGAACCTGACACACACACACACACCACCACACACACCAACATACACCAACACACACACACACACACTTCGCAAACGGTACGGAGCGCGGGCAATCGCGCGTGAATTGAACCTGAATCGGACAGCGGTTTTGTTGTTGTTATTGTTGTTGCGTGTGCAGTTTGCGGAACGAAACAAACGCGCCCCAGTTCAAAAGGATGAGATTACGGCTTTCACGGCACCCCATCAAATGAAATGTCATATTGAACGTGCTGGAAGTAACGAAAAGCGGTGTTGGCGCAGCATAGTGGATGAGCAGTTTTGCGCACTCAAAAAAGTATACGAAGAATTTGCTTTGTAACTGTCAAGAAAATAAAAGCATTCTAAAAATTGCCTCGTTTCATGAAGAAATGCTACGTTTTCCACAGGATTTTGCTTGGATATTACGAGGTAATGCACCGCGAACTTGATACCCCCCTGCAACAAGCAGCTATCTGCACTCACTGTCTCGATAACCGACTATCTACGCGTGCTCTCCCGACAACCGGCTATCTACACGGGCTGTCTGGATAACCGTCTATCGCTTTCTCCCCCTCGCGAGATTGAATGTTTTATTTTAACCAATTAATTTCCCCTCGCAAAATCTTTCCCAAAAACTAGTCAAAAGTTTGTCAAAGCAAGATTAAGTATGGTTTGAACGGGGTTCCTTTAAGGTCATGGAGAAAAATGCTTCGTTATAGGAAAACCCCTAACCCGCCCCGATGTTGGATAGACGGTTATCCAGACAGCCCATGTAGATAGCCGGTTGTCGGGGGGGGCGCGCGTAGATAGTCGGTTATCGAGACAGTGAGCGCAGATAGCTGTTTGTTGCAGGGGGGTAGGGAAACAAGTAGGTGTGTCTGCGCGGCGAGTGTGAGGGAGTGCCGGCAAGTAGGCCGCGGTAGTCTCCAACTCGCCAAGGAATAAACTAGTTTAGGAGTTAGTTGTGTTATGGCGTGGGAGCGACCGGGCCTTGGTCTCCGAAGATAGAGGGGAGGGGAGGGGAGAGGAGGGGTGGGGAGAGGGGGGGGAGAAGAGGAGAGGAGGGGGGGGAGGGGGGGGGGGGAAAAGGGGAGGGGGGAGGGGAGGGGAGAGAGAGGAGGGGGGGGGGGGGAGGGGAGGGGGAGGGGAGGGGGGGAGGGGGGGGAGGAGGGAGGGGGGGAGGGGGGGGGGGAAGAGGAGGGGAGGGGGGAGGGGAGGGGGGGGTACACCCGGGGCCTAAAACGGAGAAAATAAGCCTTTGACTGCGAAGACCGGTAGCCTGTGGTCACCAGGAACGGGCGTAAGGGGAAGAAGAGAACGGGGAGGGTGACGACACACGAGTCGCTGTCAGCAGACTGATTCCGAGAGTCGTTTTCGTCGCTCTGTCTCTCCCGCACTCATGAGGCGTGCCGTATAGGTGCGAGAGACACGACACAGAGTGACGAAAACGACTACACTCTCGGAATCAGTCTGCAGTCCGCGTGCGACTCCACTAATGCCCCGGTAGATCCGATGAAAGACGCGGCAGTCGGGGGCACAGTGGAAGGGGGAGGGGGACTGGGACACACGCCCCACCCGCCGTCGGGATGCACAACAATAATAGGGTTGAAATTAGCGGCGTTTATGCCGCATTGGGGTGCGTGGAGCCGTGCGAGGCACGTCTTAATCCCTTCGCGGCAGCACACCGTTTAGAGGGGGGGGGGGGGGGAAAAGGAGGGCAGCGCCTTACAGCCCTACGGGGAAGACGTGCCACCGCGCCGTAAAACCGATTCAAATCAGCCCGCCTTTTACTGCAGGCTGATTCCGAACAGTCGTCTCGTCTCTCTATCGCACTCGAGAGGGGTGTGCGTCCCGAAAGGGCGCGTGACAGGGAGAGAGAGAGAGAGAGAGAGAGAGAGAGAGAGAGAGAGAGAGACGGCGATCAGGCTGCAGCGCAGTTGAGTCGCAATTAGCTGAAAAGCTTGCAAGTCAAGTCCGGGAGGGAAGGCGCTCTGCTCGCCGTTCCGTGGCGCACAGTGGGCCAGAAGACCGGTGGAGGCGGTCAAAACCCCGGACTCGTTTTGAGCTCCAGAGCCGCTAAATGGAACTCTAACGGAACGTGTGACCCCCCACCATTCCTCGTTCGGAGAGCAATCCATTGATGGGGTCACACGTTCGGTTCGAGTACCGTTTGGCGACTCTGGAGCTCAAAACGCGTCCGGGATTTCGACCGCCTCGACCGGTCTTCTGGTCCACTGTGCGGCGCTGCTGACCCGGGCGGCAGTCCGTCCGCGCGACGCGACGCCAGCATGCTGGGTCCGAACGGTCGCCTCGTCGCTCTGTCTCTCTCGCACCCCTTCGGGGCGCCGCGTGGGTGCGAGAGAGACAGACGGCATCAGCCCGCAGGCAATTGAGCCCGGCTGTTGCCGCATGGCCATGGCCGGCCATCCACGTGGCCGACTTTATCTCGGGCCATTTGGCAGGCTGCGCTGTGCCGCGCTGCGCAGCGCAGCGCAGATCGCAGAAACACGAAACGAACGCCGGCCGGGCGAAGAGACGGCGCGGCGGGCCAGCAGACTGATTCCGAGGGTCGCGTTTTCGGTGCTCTGTCTCTCTCGCACCCAGGGGGCGTCCCGTGCAGGTGCGAGAGAGACAGAGCGAAGAACCTACAGTGGCCTCCAGGGCACGGCCGGCAGGGACGACTGCACTTGCATTATTGGAGTGCTGCCTCGCGTTCCGTTGCCTCGAGCTTCGAGCTGCCCGCGCGCCGCTGCAGACTGATTCCGAGAGTCGTTTTCGTCGCTCTGTCTCTCTCGCACGCATGGGACGTTCCGTGTAGGTGCGAGAGAGACAGAGCGACGAAAACGACTCTCGGAATCAGTCTGCTGGACTCGCTGGACGAGGGCGGAATGGGCATCAGAAAAACACGACAAACAGGTCTGACTGCGCGCCACACCATGCGCGCCCTGCCGGCCGATTGCCTCTGGTAAGCGGACGAGGAGGAGGGAAATAATCAAAGAAGAAGAGAAGAAAGACGAGGGCGAGGGCGAGGAGGAGGAGGAGGAGGAGGAGGAGGAGGGGGAGGAGGAGGAGGAGGAGGAGGAGGAGGAGGAGGAGGAGGAGGAGGAGGAGGAGGAGGAGGAGGAGCAGAAGGAGCAAGAGGAACAGGAGGAGCAGCGGGAGCAGGAGGAGCAAGAGGAGCAGGAGCAGGAGGATCAGGAACAGCAGCAGCAGCTGGAGCAGGAGCAGGAGGAAGAGCAGGAGTAGGAGGAAGAGCAGGAGTGGGAGAAGCAGGAGCATCAGGAGCAGGAGAAGGAGCAGGTGTAGGAGAAGCAGGAGCAGGAGGAGCAGGAGGAGTAGCATGAGCAGCACCGGCAGGATCAGGACCATCAGGAGCAGCAGGGGTAGGATCAGGAGCGTCAGGGGCAGCATCAGGAGCATCAGAAGGAGGAGCAGCAGCAGCAGGGAAGGGGCACCGATAAAGATGAGCGGAAAGAAAGGAGCCAAGAAGACGGGCAATGGCCCGTGGCGAAGGGACACTTGCGCAACCATTGCACCCGCTGGATCAATTGGGCAATGGCTGCTGCATTGGCCCTCCCCCCCTCCTCCTC